TGCTTAGAAAAAGAGGTATGAATGGTCAATAAGTATATGGGAAAAAACTCAGCATCTTTGGCCATTAGAGGGAAGTGCAAATGAAAACAACACCGAGATGCGTTTTACTGCAGTAAGAAGAGCTATCAAAGGTTCAAAGAAACAAAGGCTGGCAAGGTCACAGGTGGGGGAAGGAACCCTTCCACATTGTGGGGGGGATTTAAACTGCACAGCCACTATGGAAATCAGCATGGGGAGCCCTCGAAAACCTGAAAGTAGAAAATTCCATTTGAACCAAGTGTGCTTCTTGTATCTTCCTAAAAGAGCTACAGTCATATTACAGTGACCATGCATACCCACTTTTATAGCAGCAAACTCCTCCTAGGGGGAGGAGACCATATGGTCATCAACAGATGACTGAACTAAAAGAAATACATATGCACATTGGAACACTACTCAGCCACAGAGAAAGATAAATCGGAGTCATTTGTAGGAAAATGGATGCACCATGAGACCATGATGCTCAGGGAAATTAGTCATAAAAGGTTAACTATTGCATGGTTTCTCTAAATAAGAGATCAAAATAGAGTAAGGCAGGGAACAATGAAAGAACCGTGTTAGGTATAGAGAAGACGGCTCTGTAGAGATGGGAAGGGATATGAGGAAGGGGAGAAGGTAAGACGCAAAGAGGGGATCAAAAATGACCAAGGTGTGGTAACATATACATACATGTATCCACATACACATATACTCCCTGAAGGAATGTGATCATTATGTATTGCAAAGATACACTAATAAAGAAAAACTTTCTCTTTAGAATAGTCACCATAAATTTCTTTCACCCAATAAATCCAAACAACCATCGCTTAATGTCAGTTTGAGTTTAGGTATTCATTTCAGAATTATACTTTGTCAGCACCACTTTCTCTGAATATGCTTTTCAGATAATGTGCATATATATATATATAGTATATAATAGCATATGATGCTATATCAGACAGCATAAGAAATACACACACACACACACACACACACATATATATATATATATATATGGAATTTGTAAGCTATAGAACAGACCATTTTCAGCAGAAATAAGACAAGAGGAAACTTCAAAAGCAGGTATTTTACTTTTTTGAGACAGGCTGTGTGTCTCAGGCTGGTCTCCAATTTACATCAATCCTCCTACTTCAGCCTCCCAAGTGATGGGATTACAGCAGGCACCACCACACCTGAGTTTCATTTTGGTTTTTTTTCTTTTTGAAAAGCAGGTATTTTAAAATTCACTGTGAATGAAAGAAAAAAGATTAGACTTGTCCTACAGAAGCACAGATTTGATATGCTGCCCAGCCTCACCATGACAATCCAAACCTACAAGTTGTGCCAGAATTTTTTTTCGGTACACTTTGCAGACTCCTTCCAGGTGACAAGTCAAAATAGCACTAAATGTGGATCTGCCCACGAACGAAACTCTTAGCTTCCTCGAAAAGCTCAGGGTGATACTGTAATAACACTGAAAATGGCCTCGCTGCGGTGGCCTCCCTCCTTGCAGATGCAGGATGGTTTCCCAGGATTCCACAGATGTGTCCAGCAGCCTGGGGGGCAGATGGCATGTGACAGGTGATCCTCTCTTGTGCTGGAAAAGAGGAAAGGCGCACCAGCCAAAGACTGTCTTGCTGGCAGTGTGCGGTCTAAACTCTCCATCCAGTGCACCAAACTCCAGACACCTTTGCTGGGAAACCTTCCAAAGACATTTCAGTGATTCCAATGGATGTGCCATAGTTTACATCCAGACAATTCCCCAGCGCCGCAAGGGATCACAAGAGGAGTCTGCAAAGGCAGCTGGATTAGGGGAGGGCTGACTTGCAGCTAGGAGATGGGGTCTGGGGAGGGGTGGTCATTGTGTGCAGAGCCCGGAAGGTTATGTCTCCTCCTGCTCCTCCCTGATGCAGGCTTCTTTGTCACTATGCTGTAAGCAGCTTCTCCTCCACCAGCCTCTGAGCCAGCAATAGTGGACTGAAGCTGCTACAAACCATGAGCCAAAATAAACCTCTCCTCTTTTAATTCATTAGTGGAACGAGTATTGTCCATTGATGAGGAAAGTAATTAAGACAAGTTGCAAGCTGGTTACTTTCCCAGGGAAACCTTCTGCTCTGGCAAAGTATTAGAGCAATATTCACCTATCTTCTTGGAGTTCCAGCGTATATATATATATATATATATATATATATATATATAGAGAGAGAGAGAGAGAGAGAGAGAGAGGGAGAATACATATATATATAAAGAGACTGTTGCTCTGTAGTCCAAGCTGACCTTGAACTCCTATGTAGCCCACATTGGCCTTGAATATAAGGGCCTCTTGCCTCAGCCTCTCAACCATTGGGATTACAGATGTGCATTATCATGCCCAGGTCAGTTCCTGACTCAGAAATGTGAGCAATACTTCCCCTACACAGAATTATCTTCTGACAGATAAGAAAAACATTGTTTGCATGGTTGATACTGTTTAGCTGCCTCCCTCTGGTTTAGATCCTGCCCTGGGGAGTAGTCCCATCCAAGGCAAAAGAACTCAGAATATCTTGAATTTTGAGAAAAATGTAGAACTCTTTTTCCTTTAAGGGCTAAAAAGACCTCTGCTTTTGAGTATCTTCCCCCAAATCTTACCTGGAGAAAGTAAGATAACAGGTCCACTACACTGTCCTTCAGGGGCTTCTACCTTTACTAGGTCAGCTTCCATCTTTAACAGAGGTGTTCATGTCCACTAATTTTTGTACCTCTGTAATACATTATTAACCCAGCATTTATCATGAACTTTCTCTTAGGCAGGTACAGGGAGAGGTGCCAGGGACACAACTTTAAAAAGAAAACCTTTATATAATAAATGTATTGTTACAGTAACAGCTAACTTTTGGGATGGCCACATCTCATGTATTCCTTACCTCCACTCTGTGAAGTCAGCAGTTATGTCTCCCCTTCAAGGATAAAGCAAGCACCCAAGGTTAAGTAATCTACTTAAGGTCCGCACACCACCATTTGTCAATTCTTAAAGACTGCCATGTTTTAAAGAAATACATCTTCTAATCAGGTTTGATCTAGTGTACTAAGTGTACTAAGACTTTCCAAATTGTTTTGTAATAGCTTATCTACCAATTAAAATTTGATCTTCTAGTCTATGAGGGTTTCCTGAGTGGGGGATATAGCTCAGCAGCACAAGTGCCTGCCTGGCAAGCAAGGTCCGGAGTTCAATTCCCGGAACCAAACCAAACCAAACCGAACCATCAAAAGGGATTACTTGAAATACTGCAAGTGTTATATTCCATACTGTTCAGAAAGGGAGTCATATGCTTTGTGAGGCTCTACAGAACTTGAAATATGGCCAGTGGAACAAACATCTACAATTTCAATTGTATTTAATTGAAATTTAAAGGCCCATGTGTGGGTACTGAGTACTGGGTAACAGATCTAGAGGGTAGGGAAATGGCTATATTTCTCCTGATTTCTCTATAAAGACAATGCTATGGCAAAGTCATAAACGTTCAGTTAACGAAAATGAGTGAAAATCTCCAGTGGGAGAGCAGGACTTTGGCTGTAATAAAACGTTCCGCTGGCACGTGACAGCGCGTGACCAACACAGCAGTGACAAATCTGCAATGTTTTTGAAAAGCTGACACACATTTTCTAAGTGATGCTACTTTGAAAAATGCATACTCAAGGCTATTTATTTGCCTAATTAAAAAGATCACTACTTAACTCCGTTTCCTGCTAACACAGGGGGCCACGGTAAGAAAGGAGAGGTTGCTTTTGGTGGTGAAATGCTGGGGTATAGGGGAGAAGTGAAAATCAAGTTTCCTGCAGAAAATTACATCAGGATTTGTAATTTTTAAAAAGATTAAACACCTGCCAATTTCTCCTCCCAAAGGCCCTTGTGTGTTACTTATTCATCGCTAGGTATGTCTGCATTCCTTAAATCTTGTGAACGGGGAAACATTACCAGGAGAGTAACTGCTACCAAAGCACAGAGGAGCTTCGGATCCGTCGGATTCCTGGATGTCGAAGACCGAGGGCCCAGTTTCCCAGGCAGCGCCCCGCACGCACCGCCCATCCCGCTCCACGCCCAGCCTCAAGCGCGCTCACCTCGAGGATCTTACTGAGTCACCGTTTGCAGTCGACCGGGAACACGGTGGCTTTTTGCCTGATTTTTTTTTTATTATTAGATGTGGATTGCAAAATCACAAACGCCCTCTGCGAAAAATTGCAGAGCGGCTCCCTGCCTCTGGGAGCTCCAGCCAGGATTTGTGATGCAATCAACTCTACATATTTTACAAGCCCGAGGTTCCCTTGGTAAAGGCTACCTAATGCCCCCCAAGAATGCCTAAAGGAAAAAGAAAAAGAAATTTCCCGTACGCTGTAGCGGGAAAAACGCTGGTCTGGACTCGGGATGCACGCACGCTCCGTGCAGAGCCAGAGAGTGGGGGCTGCAGTGGCCCCGATAACGCCGCGCTCCGCTTCTCCGGGGCTGCATCCCCGCCCCGCCTCCGCCATCGGCCCCTTTCTTCCGGAGCCAGGGCGCCCTGGCCGGATCCTGCCCGTGGCTCGCAATGCCTGCGACCTCGGCAGGCGGAGCCAGGCGAGGTACCAGGGCCCGGGCCACGCGCGCGGCGGAAACACAGCGCAGGCCGAGATCATCGCCACCCGCAAGGCAGGTCCCAGTCTGTCGCGGGGACGCGGCGGGCGCGATCCGCTCCGCGCCGGACGGCCGCGCGCGCGCGCTCGCTCAGGCGGCGTCGCCAAGTCCCGGCCGCGAGGCCGCGCGCGCAGCTCTGGGCGGAGCCGCGGGGGGCCTGGCCGCGCGGGGCGGGAGGAAAGGGCAGGGCCGCGGGGCGGCAGTGGTGGCCCGGGCGGCCGGCCGGCAGGCGGCGGGGGCGGGGAGGATGCCGCAGCGGCCGCCCGAGCGCCCCGGGCCCCGCGCCAGCGCAGGGGCGCAGCGCGCGCTGCGGGCCGGGCGGAGTTAGGGCGTCTACACGGCGCGCGCCCCCCGCGCTCCGGCTCGGTCGCCGCTGCAGGGAAGCGGCGCGGGGACCAGGCCCGAGGAGCGCGCTGCGCCCGAATCCCCCTGTCCTGCTCCTCGCTCGCGCCCCGGGGCTGCGCTCCCTGCGCCCGGCCTCCAGAGCCACAGCTGCGGGCGATGCGAGCGCCCGCTCCCGCGCCCCCGCCCGGAGGTAAGTGGCCGAGCGAGTGCGCACCTCGGGGATCTCGGCCGGTGCCGCGGAGGGCGGGGCGGGCCGGGGTCGGGGGCCGAGCCCTGCACTCACCCAGGGCCCTGAGTCCCCGAGGCGGAGCAGGGCCGAGCGCGCGGACCCGGGCGTGCGGCGCGGGGCGGGGCGTGCGGGGCGGGGAGGCCGAGCGGGCCTGCGGTTGATCCCGGGGACCCCGCCGCCGGATTCCCAGGTAAGGGCTCGTCGCTGAATGTTTCCGACCGGGTCGGTAGCTGCGTTCTCCCAGCCTGTTTTCAAGTCAGAATGCGAGACTGGGCAAAGCCATCTCCGGGCTTGCGGAGGGATGGTGTCCTCGGTGTCGCACAGCTGGGCAGATGCGGCGGGAGGCGACGGCGCGGAGTTGGGCGTTTGCAGCTCGGGGCGGCCCCTGGCGGCCCTTGGGGAAGTCAGACCGCTCGGGAACTGGGGTGCTGGTCTGTGGTCCGCCGCCTCCCGGAGGACTTGGCTGGCTTGGCTGGCGAGCCCGGTACAGGTGTCTGCAGATAGTGTTCTGCGGTCGCCCTGGCTTGGCCGACAGAGGCAGCCTTGCGCCCAGCCCTAACTTCCTGCTGCTCGGAGGGAGGGTCTGCGCTTCTGAGGAGCCGGTAGCAGTTCTCTCTTCTCTTCTCTGTGTAAAAGTTCATTGCGTTAGAGCACTTTGCAAGATCATCTTTTTCTACCCTATCTTTTAAATTTCCATAATACGCTATAAATTTTAGTTTTGGGAAAATGGAGCATGATTTTATATTCCAACATTGAGATTTAAGAATTTGGAAAATTGATTCAGTAGAAATAGCAAGATGACAGAATCTTTATTTTCCACTTCTGTAATCGTCTGCTAATAGGTGATCATTAGTTATTTGTACAGTGACCCATGATGCTTCAAGTTTCATCAAAAACCATTTGGAATTACAGTGTATTTGTGGTGTTGCCTGTGAGATTTAACTAAATTTCAAAAATTGTCTGTATAAACAGGCAACATGATTATTTTAACATTTATATTTGCATTCTGACATTTCAAGCTCCGAATGCTAACGTGTAATGTTTATCAACTGTGGTAATTTTCCTTGGCCCTTTTAAGCACATTTCGTGTACCAGTCTCTGCAATAAAACCTGTTTCGATTAAACTCTCAAGCACAATTTTAAAAATGGAATTCATATGCTAAGGAAAAGTCTAAGTTGCTCCAGAAGGAATTGTGATGTGGTTAATAAGTAACGTATTAACTTGTTTTAGTCTTGTGGTTTGGTTTAACTAAAATGTATTTCATTGAAGGTAAAGGCAAACATAAAACATTGAGATGTGGCTGTGATTCCTAAGTCAAAATGTATGACATAATACAGATACTTTTGTTTTCTGCAGTGCCCGAGGCTGAACCCAGGGCCTCTAGTGTGTATTAGGCAGGTGTCCTTCTGCTAACCCTAGCCCTCTCTACAGATTTGTGACTATGGTTTTTATTCGGTAGATAAGTGTATCAGTTTCCAAGTTTGATAACCAGGATGATTGTGAATAGGGGTTGGAAGATCCAGTGTTTTTCTGCTTTAAAACATTATTCTGTTTTTTAGGTTTCTTTTGTACCAAGAGTTGAACTCAGGGCCTTGTGCTTGCCAGGGAGGTGCTTATGCTCCTGAACTATATCCCCGGCCCTAAAATATTGTTTTGAAAAAAAAAAGAATAATTGATGTATTTTTGTGCCCTAATGTATTTTCTGTTTTGCCTTTGTTCTTGTTCTTCTGTCGCTTGAATTTTAATGAGTCATTATTGTTTTCAGCCCTTCGTTAGCAAAATCATTCTGAAAGTTCTTTTCTTTCTGGCATGAGTCTACCATCTCCATCTCCCATGACCCAAAGAACTTATTTTGTGCACAGTAGGGTAAACCATGCTTGGTTGCTGTATCTTCTCTAACCTGGTTGGGTTCTCCCTAGATGGCTGAGGAAGTTTAAGATGGAGAGAACCAACAGTGAGAGGGGTCTCAAACATCAGGGTTATTCTAAGAAGCAGATGTCATCCTGAGAGATAATGGCATTTGATACTTCCTCCTGGGTGTAGTCAGGGGTACCAGGTGGTTACCTCAGAGCAGTTCTTCCTTGCTGGCTTTAGAGTCTCCCTTTAGTTACAGTAAACTCTTCATTTTGTTGCTTAGAAACACTTACTTGATCCCTTGACAAAGAGAAGTCAGACCCTTCACAGAGTGCTGTAACTCTGGGCCTGGGTAGGGGCCTTGCAGTCAGGTAGGGGCTGACTGCTGCTTGCAGGGGGAGGAGGCTTCCCTCTCCCTGTCTGTGTCCTGCAGCCCTGGGATGGGTGATGAGGCTTCTTGGGTCCTGGCTCTGACCCCTGCACCCCGCCCCCACGAACACCTCTCCTGGGCAGTGCTCCCCTGAGATCTGATTTACTCTGTCTCACCCTTGGTGTCTTCCTCTAGCTTTGGCCTTACAGAGCTCTCTCTTTTCCCTTGCTAAAGCTCATTTTCTGCCCTTTTAAAATCTCAACCTGTGAACGTTTCCTTTTTGTTTACATTAAACAGAATCCACTCAGTTCATATATACAAGAATGAGAAGTATTAAGGTTGGGGGGGCAATGCACTGAAGTAAATTTGTGGAACCTTGGGTTTGGAATATCAGGAAGATATGGCTGAATAATTGTTGCATACATCTCCCTTTGATGAGGCACAAAATGCCTTTGTTCTGCGCATGCCAGCACCTGCAGATGGCCTGAATTTGATCAGAAGTGTAATTGAGAAAAACAGTGTTTTCGGAGGTTTGTGTGCAGGAAGGCTGGATGGTCCTTTTTCCTTTTAATGATAGCCATCAGAGCAGGAGTCTCAGAGACCACACCTCTGACTCTGGGCTTTCTTCTGTAGTTGGTATAGAAAGAGACTGAAGCCTCCACTTACGGTGTCTCTGAAATTTAGGGATCCAATGTGATAAAAATTATTTTTAATTGAGAATATTAAACGTTGGCCCAGATGGGTGACGTGGGCCACCTGGACAGAATACCTAATTCCAAGAAATAACTCTGAGACTTTCTGCTTCCGACCCAGAGTCCTCAGAGGGGGCCCTGGGCACTGGGTTCTATTGCATAATACCCCACAGGAGGTAATTTGCTTTTGATGACTAATTAACAAAGGATTGAGGGAGGAAGAATTTAATAGTTTGTTTAGCCTGCTTCTGTGCAGTTTTTTACTTACCATTAACCAGGTGTGCCTTGTGACCAAGAATCACTCATGAGACACTTAGGCAGGTGTATGGTTCCTCACCATCTCCCTTTTTTCTTCTATAATTCTGTTTGCTGCGCAAACATCCTATTTACTGATTTGTTTTCCTGCATGTTGACACTGGAATTTAAAGATTGCATAAGTGACAGTAATAAATGCCCAGACACTGGATGGAGCAAAGCCTCTGCAACATGGTACAAATCTCAGTCTCAGAGGATTACTCTGTATGTCAGTATGGCCAGACCTTGTGTGGACTCTCAGGCATTCATTCCTAAGTCCTTACTGATCTGTTCTGGTGGGTTCCCCTGAGGGAGCACCTGCCTGAAGGGTCCAAGTGAACAAGCAGTAGTCTGGTATTTCGAATCACACTAACTGCAATTGAACGTTAAACAGCTTAGTAAGGAGTAGGAATTGAAAATTCACAGGATAGGAATTTAAGGTAGTGAGCCATTTAAAAAAATACTTCTTTGCATCGAGGAAGCACAGATTATCAGGTTGAGGCCATAAGGAGTCTGGCAGGTGTGAGGTGAGTGACAGCTGGAAGGTGGAGGGGGTGGGTTGATGTGTTCAGGATGGGGGCATTTCGCTCCTGGAATCCCATGGCATTGGTGCCTCTGCTCCAAGACACTCCTGAGGAAGCTGTCTGGCAGGAGGCTGATGTCCAGGGCCGCCCCATGTCCCTGCAAGGAGTGGCAGAGGTGTAGAGGGCCGGTGACTTGGTTCGGAATTCACCACCTGTGCGAGCACAGACAAGTTAATTTCTCTGTGCCTTGACTCTTCTTGTCTGTCAAGTGAAGGTAATAATAGTAGCCACCTACATCGTTCAGAGAATGAGGTAAGTTGACTTATGTGCAGTGCTTGGAACGCTGCCTGCGCAGGGTAAGCAATTCTCTGTTAACTGTTACTGAGGGTATTGGGTGAAAATGAGAAAAATCCAACGGCGGAGCCATTTTTACAATGATAATGCATTTATGCATATATAGCCATTAAAATAATGGTTTTGAACACTACTTAATCACGTGGGAGACATTGAATCAGACCTCCAGTGGTATGTTCAGAAGACCCAAATTGGATTTAAAAATGAGTCTCTATGGAAGACAAAGTGACAAAATACTAAGATTTTCTCCATGGATGGGATCACTGATTTACATTTTTTCACATTTTTAATTTGTTAGTCATGTGTATTACAATGATGATTGTTAAAGTTTAGTACCGGTCTGTGGTAGAATTTTTATATTTTTGACTTCATCAGATGCATATTCTTTGTGATATACTTCACATTTTCTTTTCTTCAAAGCTGCTAATATTTCACTTCCTTCGTGTCTTCACCCACACGTCATCTGCTTGGTATTTTCTTGCACTCAGCTTGCTTAGTGTAAAGATGCCCCTTTCCTTTCCTGTTCTCGTTTCTGCCTCTTGAATGCTGGGCACACATTCTGCTGCCCCTGAGCCGTGAGTATCTTGAAGAATAAAACGACCAGGGCAGAATGATCTGTGGCTAACTGTGGCATGTGTGTTTTTCATTTCAGACAAAAGATGTTAATGTATGAGTTGATTTTTTTTCCTAGGCTAAAACCTCAGTGTTCAGGTTTAATTGCAGTGTTGGAACTTTGTGATCAACAAATGGGTTTGGGGTTGCAGTTTGGGCGCTCGTCTCTAAAAGGTATTCCCTCTGACCGCTGTGTAGGATGCTGTGGTAGTGGCTTTCTCCTGGGAGTTCAAGCTGGAAACTGCTGCTTGGGTGATGGT